GAAGCTGTGGCTGCCCCATCCCTGGCAGTGTTGAAGGGCAGGTTGGATGGGGCTTGGAGCAACCTGGGCTGGTGGGAGGTGTCCCTGCCCATGGGGGTTGGAACTTGGTGATCTTTAAGGTCTCTTCCACCCTTCACCATTCCATGATTCTCTGGGGAATGTGGTGCCATTAAGCCAACAGCTCAGCTACCACCCACCAATTTAGGAACGTGCCAGAGGGCGAATCATCCATGTCATGGTTTTTTTAGTGGGTGACTAAATACTTGGTTCAGGAAGACACTTGGGGATCATTTCCTCTCCAAAGCCTGTATTTGCTCACAGAGAGGGGTCGAGGCAAGGAGCCTTTCCTCGGGTGAATGGAAACCAGAGGGTGGGGGTGAGGGTGCTGGCTCTAAAACCTTTTTGTCTGTGCAGGCAGAGGTCCCCAACAAGCCCGTAGTCCGGCCCTACCGTCCCCCCACGGCTCAGGAGGTCTGTTACCAGAGGATCCAGCTGGCTCAGCAGCAGGCAGCACAGCTGGCTGTGGCCGTTCAGAAGGCCTCTCTTTCTTTGCCAGGAGAAAAGAAGAGGATTGCTCATGTGCCAAATGCAGCCCTCTCTGCAGCAGCCAAACAAAGTAAGCCAGCAGTGTTATTTGTCATCGCTGTCCTGTCCTCCCTTCCTGTTAAAAGACACTGCCTTCTGTTTACATTTCTCCTGAGCAGACTATCAGGAGATGTTTAGCATTGGCCATGAGTTGGAACTTTGCTTCTAGTGACCAGTGGAAGATCTTTCCCCTGAGAAGTTCCATCCTGTTCTGAAAAGCCACAGGCTGGACCTACAGCCCTGTTTCCCCACTGCCTCACACAGCTGCCCTCCCTTCAGCCTCTTCTTTTCCTGTTGCTTCTTTGGAGCGTGTTTGCTCCTTGTTCCCTCTTCCATGGGAGCCTTTGGAGGTGGCACAAACAGGAGGGAAGCACTAATTACAGCTCATTGGTGTCCCTTTGTTGTTGGAAGGACTCAGAGCTGACGTGATGGGCAGTTAGTGCATCAGAGCTGACAGGGTCACAACTTTACACACTGCTGACTCAGTTCCCCCAAAACAAACAGAAATGAGGGACGTTTCCTAGCAGAAGGTTCCTTCATCCTTGCCTGGAAGGTGCTAAAATTACCCAATTTGTCTCCCTTTGGAAAAAAATCCCAGCTTGCAGCATGGGCCTCTTATGGTAGGTTCACTCTGGCAACTTGAAATCTTGTGGCAACTTGAAGCCCTAGAAATGTAGGATTTCTACCTAAATATGTTTTCTGTTTCTTGCAGGCCTTGTGAGTAGTAAGACAACTGTTGCTGGCAAGAGTGTGACACCTTCCAATGACTCTGAGGCACCCAGCCTTTCTCTGAAGGCTTGCACCTTAGCTGGGATGGCTTCAAAGACCACTAGCACCATCGTGCCCAAAAGGATAGCACATGTTCCCTCCTTGCAGGTAAGAGGAATCTGGAATCTTTCTGGTTCTTCCCCATTGAGGCTGTGGTGTTCAATCATGCTGCTCCAAGCTGAGCACTCTCTGAAGAGTGGTGGGTTGATGAAATGGGTTTGTTCCTTCCTGTGGTTTTCCTCGATAGCATTGTATAAAAAATTCAAACACTTGAAGGGTAGGAGCTTAAAAAGATAGAAATACTCAAGTGCTGCTCTGATCTCTTGGAATATTGATCACTCCTCTTCAGTTGGAGTCCTGTGTTGTGCTGGCTGGCCAGGTGTGTGGCTCTTGGTGTTGGAGACTTGGAGCCTCTTGTGTTTCAAGGGTGGATTAATGACCTTCCTGGGCTTTGTGGGCTGTACTGGAGAAGGTGCTTATGAATAATGTCCCACACTGACCTATAGAGTTCAAATGTGATCATTTAAACTTCATGCTGCTTTTAATATTTGGAGAGGGAGGGGAAAATCTTTCTTTTTTCTTGGGGTTCCTGCCCAGCCTTAGGGTAATTTTGCTGTGAGTTCCTTAGCAAAGAAGCCTCTTCTTTCCCCTTGAGCACTGGGAACATGTCACTTGCTAAGACAAGTTAGAGATCCATGTGGCAGAGTGTGGATGCCATAAGAAGCTGGAGTGGACGGCAAGGAATGTAGTTAGTGCCAGGACTTGCATAAAAATACACCTTTCTTGGTGATATTTTGTGTCAAGTTGTGTTGTAAAATACTCTGATTGTTTCTGCAGGAGTGAAAAGTCCTTTTCCCCCTCCCAAAAAACCACCAGAGCAACATAGAACTTAAAGCTGATTAAAAATGAGGCAGCTGTAAGGATAAAATATTTACCAGAGTTAGGTGCTTAAGGGTGAGAAAAAATAAACATGTCATGAAAATGCCCCAATCCTCTTGAACAGGGCATCAAAGTGGGGGTCTCATGAGGAAAATGAGCTTTTTCCCATCAAGACAAGGAGTAGTTACCCCTCTTTGAACATGCTCATCTGTTCCCTAGAGCTCTTCTGATTACAGATTGCAGCAGATGGTTTGGTTTGTGGGTGTCTCTTGGGTGGGGGGGAGAAAGACTGTCAAAACAGTTGGGTGCTTCTGAGGTGAGGGTGCAGTTTCTTCTCCCCCTCTAAAAAAAAGAGGCAAATTGTGGGATTTGGGGGATAAACTGGTGTTAAATAGAAAGCTGCAGTGGGAGGTCAGTCCAACATGTGGGTTTTAGGCATGAAGTGCATGTCATTCAGTTCAAGGAGGAAATCTTTTCAGGAGCATCAGGACTGGCATTAAAAAAGGAGGAGAAAAAAACCCTCAATGTAGTTAATCTACAGGAATCCAACAGAAAGTGTGATGATTTTGCTGCCTACCAGCCTGGCAGGAATGGGGCTCTTGTCCTCAGAACACCAAAAAGCAAAGGATGTCCCATCATGTACAGAACTGGTGGGATGTGTTCCTGTCTCCCAGTTCAAAGCCTGGTACTTGGTACCATCCTAATCTTGAATCTCTTCATGGCAATGTCATAATTCCCATGGTCTGGAATGTTTGTGTGTGTCAGGGTGGTTGTGTGACTCATGCCACTGGGAGTCCTGGGCTGCTGGGTGAGTTGCACAATGAAATGTGGTTGTTTTTTTGTAGCAGTTCAAATACTGAAGGTGGCACAAAAGTTTCAAGTGACGTTTTTAGTCCCAAAAAAATGCTGCATGTTATGTTGAGCTCTGGGCAGGTTTTCAGAAAGGAAGTTGTGTCACTATTAATAACTCAGGAGGAAATGTGAGTCTCCAAGCAGTGCACTTCTTAAACCCTGAATAGCCTCTTTCTTTCTCCTCTGTCTCCTCTCCAGAGTGCCACCTTACAGAGGCCTGTTATTCCCACAGAATTTGGTGCCAAAGTCCCAACAAACATTCGTCAGAGATATCTCAATCTCTTCATTGATGAGTGCCTGAAGTTCTGCTCCTCCTCCCAGGAAGCATTTGACAAGGTCAGTGCTTGGTGCTGCCTTCTTCTGGGTAAGGTCTGCAGCAGAGAACAACGTGGCTGAGACCTTCTAAAATTGCAGCAAAGCCAGAAAATTCTCCTGCCCACATCCACTTGTGCAGAGGAGACTGGAATTTGCCCAGGGAAGCTGTGGCTGCCCCATCCCTGGCAGTGTTGAAGGGCAGGTTGGATGAGGCTTGAAGGAACCTGGGCTGGTGGGAGGTGTCCCTGCCCATGCAGGGGGTTGGGACTGGAAGATCTTTAAGGTCTCTTCCAACCCAAATCATTCTATGAGTATGATTTTAAGCTGTTTTCTCACCAATACCCCATCATCATGTGAGTACTGAGGCTTGTTCCAACAACCAACCCTTCTCTTTTCCCTCCTGAAGAAACCAAACCCCATTTTCACTCTGATTTCCACATTCAGGTCGAACATCAGGAAAAAGTTCTTTCTTGTGAGGCTGGTGAGAGCCTGGCCCAGGTTGCCTAGGGAAGGTGTGGCTGCCCCATCCCTGGCAGTGTTGAAGGGCAGGTTGGATGGGGCTTGGAGCAGCCTGGGCTGGTGGGAGGTGTCCCTGTCCATTGATCTAGATCATCTTGAAGGCCCCTTCACACCCAAACCATTCCATGATTCTATGATAGTTGGCTTCTGTACTTTCAAAGCCAAACATTTCTTTTCTCCAGAGAGTGTGGAATAATGAGTTGCATCCTTTGCAGGCTCTGTCAGAAGAGAAGGTGGCTTATGAACGTAGCACCAGTCGCAACATCTACCTGAACGTGGCTGTGAACACCCTGAAGAAGCTCCGGAGCCTGGTGCCCAGTTCCCCCTCCAGTACCAACAGTATGTACCACATTTGTGGTTTAATACTTGGAGCCCTGCTTGGATTAGAAACCACGGAGAGAGGAACTTGTTGAAAAGACCAGACCCATTTCTCAGAAGCATTATGCTGAAAGGCAAACATCTCCAGTTAGCTTTTTATAGTCTGGCAAGCTTTAATGGGCCTTCAAGAGGCAAGTCCTGCAATGCTTTGTTGGCTGTCTGAACCTAAATGGAGATAATGCCACATGGATTCTTTTTTTTGAGCCCAAGTTCTTTCAAATGAAAAGCCCTGCTAATGGAGTAACTTTCACATGATGCCTTCAAAGTGATAGACTCGTCCATCACCCCAGAAATCTGTTACACACATTAAGCTTCAAGAGAGAAACGAAGAGGGTTAAGACATTTCATTATTGGCTCTCAAGAGGGTACATTAAACAATCAATTTGTGCTGTTCTTGTGAATATTTTTTTTTTTTCCCCTCTCCTGGTCTCTTCCTTTTTCTCCCCTCTGTCTTCATTACCTTCCTGGCCATTAGGCAGAGCAGCTGAACTTGGGAGGCCTGGCCTTTAGGAGAGGGCTGCCAGTTAATGATTAGTAAAAAGCACCTCTCTGCCATTAGCTGATGTGCTGAGCAGATTCTAGAGCTCTGAAGCCCCTTTCTTAAAAGAACCTGAAAGATTCAGTGTGGAAGCCTGGGCTGCAGGACCTGACAACAAAGCTGCTGGGGATGGGTGAGGTCACCAGGCAGCACATGACAAGGTCAAGTTGCTTCTGTGCTTGGTCCTCTCTTGCTTTTGGTCTTGCTGTGCAGAGGAAGGAGGTAGAGCTACTAGAGTTTTCCAGGGGGGACTGTAAAAATGGCCTTGAAAAAAAACAACTTGCTGTGGGCTGACAGTGCAAACAGAAAGCTCCCCATAGTGCTGGGGTAAAAATGCCAGGTCCCCACCTTACCTGTGCCAATTTCTGGAGCAGAGGAAGAGTTCAAGAGGATCAGTGCAGCCCTGCTCTTGGTGATGTGCAGTGCCCAAAGCTCTAGGGCTGAAGTCACTCACTCTTTCTCAGCTGGGAGCCTGATCTCTGTCCTGTTTTGCTTCTTCCCTCTTCTCACTGCAGAGACAAGCAACAAGAAGGTGGTGTCCCATGAAGCTGTGCTGGGAGGGAAGCTGGCTGCTAAGACAAGCTTCACCCTGAACC